TYYTYMRKTTAAAATGGATTTGAACACGACGACGACGCAAATGACCGTCACCGTAAAGACTGACAATGGCACAGATACTATGAACTTTGTGGAGAAGACACCTCTAGTGTTATTGATTCTTTACAGTATGCTGTACATTGTGACTTATCTTATCGCTATCGTTGGCAATATCATGGCAATGTTGACGTGCTACAAGAATTATCGCATTACGACATCTATTCTTCTGGTGTACATTGCAAGTCTAGCCATCGCTGATTTGCTTTTTACMCTTCTTACCACATTTGACTATGTGTACTTTTTTACCAACTCTTGGCCAGGAGGAAATGCAGTTTGTAAACTTCAAGGGTTCTTCGTGGAAACRTCTTACAGCGCTTCCATTTTGACTTTGGTTGCGATAAGTTATGAGAGGTATCGATCGGTTGCGTCGAAGGGACTTGCCCGAAGTCAGCGCATCGAACGACGCACAATCATTAGTAAAGGCATTTGGGTCTTTTCTGTTTTGATTTCTTTGCCATTGTTGTATGGTTACTCCGTAATCGAAGAGAACAAAACTGGCAGACTTCTGTGCGTTAACCATGTATCATGGGGTGACAGAGGTCGTCAGATTTACTACACATGCCAGGCTGGTTTCATCTATCTTCTGCCTTTGTCATTCATGATTTGGGCTCATTGGAAAATCTTTCAAGTCCTCAAAGTCCATGCGGCTAAAAAAATGGTCAGCTCAGTAGARTGTAAACARCGCAAGATCACGCACATGCTGGCTGTTGTGACTCTCATCTTCTTTGCTTGCTGGTCACCCTTCATTGGTGTTCGAGCCCTGAGGTACTACTACGTTTACGAGGGTTTTGAACTATGGAAGCTTACTCAACTTGTAATCCTTGTCAATTCTGCTATAAACCCGGTCTTGTACTGCTTCTATAGTGGTCAGTTCCGTACAGCCTTCAAACAGATGATAACTTGCAAATGGAAAATGAATTTACGAAAGATTTCCCGTGCTTCTCGGCGAAGTGGAAGGGAAAGCCACTCTCCGAACAGCTTTGCTGATAAATCCGACGAGCAAGCAAGCACCCACTCTACGGGATGGCATAAATTAAGCACTTTAGTCAAACCTAAACAATCTAATGCCCATTCTGGTGAAGATAAAAACAAAGTATAGAATTTAACGCTATATTAGGGATAATCTTCAGTATATACTCAATATGATAGAACAATAGATGTTGTATTTATGTATGATAAGTATCTAAGGATATCTTAAGAAATCAAACAATTATAAAGTTATTGTAGGCTGTTTTGTTTCAGTACAAAAGTTGAAGTTTACAAATAGACATAGAAGATTATTGATGTGCTAAAAGATTGGTTTAAACATAAAGAAAATAGTTAGTAAATAGGGTACATTTACGGACKAAGAAATGACAAAATAGCTAACGCATTAGTTAATGAGCTTAATGATGTTTAATAAAGTGTAATTACGATAAAATCAGCTCTTTAGCTCTTATGCAAACCAATTATGATGTAATAGCAAACTCATATTAAGAAAAACTCCAAATTTAATTTAAGAATATGATAAAGATCTGCAGAGAAGTCACGCATCCACGAAATACAAACAATGGACAAAGGGAAACAAGAACTTTGACGTCATTTCTGACAATATTTATACACGCTTGTTAGGATTGCGACATGCTGTAAAAAAGCGTATTTACTGATTTATCTAGTTGGTCAACAGTAGAATAAGTTAAGGCACTCTATGTATATATTACTATGTGATGAGAAGATAGAAAAACCTTTTAGTTCTTGTGTTGTTATTACATTACTATATAAAAAAGTTCCAGAGTGTGTCAGGCTGCCGGAAACTCAAGTACATAAATTACTGAAGTCAAAGAGTCACCATTGAAAAGCTAAATAAATATGCGGATAAAACACAATTTCATCGTAAAACAATGTTAAAGTTGTGGTTTTTGGCCGATTAAATTTTCGTTGAGGTTTGTAAGTGGTCGGAAGGCCGGCATCTTTAGTTTTACAATGACGATGCAAAAATCACTACTAACTTCACAAGTGCCGGAATTCCGCCTCATACACTGCAACATACTGAGAAGACCGTGATCATTGACCTATCTCCGGACATTTCATTACTAGAACGACTTTTTTGATACATTGACTGAATATTCTTGCCCGAATTGTCAAATTGCGCATGCAGAAAAAAAATGCCGAAGATACGGTCATGCGGCGAGAAGGAAGGGGAAATGAGATTTTGGAGAAAGGAGAATTGTATTKTATTACGTGATGATAAAACTAGTAGGACTGTGTCATCAATAATTTTGCGCAGTTGCTCTTACATAACTGAAAAAATAGGGTTTCTTAAAATATCACATTCAAAACTTCTGCCCAGTCACATATATACAAGACCTAGAGATGATATTAAGTAAATCGGGGGGCCTATCAGTCCGCAAAACTGCTGATTTTTCGGCTCTTAAATTTCCGTCGCTAAGAAATCTATTAGTGACCGCTACTTTACAAAATCCGCAAATAAAAGTGCGTTTTTCCGCAACTGAGCGATATTTTACAAGTCGTTACAAAAATAAAAGCAGTACTGAAAACCGACCACTACTGAGTCAGCAGRAACAAAAACAAAGCSCGCCAACTCAATCATCCGATAAAGCACGAGACTTGGCAAACGTAATTRAATMTCACGCTGGAACTCCACTAGGAGATGTGATCTCAGCTAAAACAAAATGCTTGATAGCAGAAATTGTAGGATGTTCTACTTTGCGGCAAAACTCCAGATTCATGCAGATCGTAGATGGGTATCATGTCGAATTCACTAGGCCGTGCTGCATACCTACACACCCTTCGAAAGACCACGGGCGATCAATCCACGTTTTAGCATGACACAGCAGGTCTTGATGAAAAGCTTTCAGGTTGAAAAAGCTTTCAGATTGAGGAAAGAACTCGCACAAAGGTGATCAGAGAGACGTCGAATCGACTTACGTTAGGGACGGTCCATTTAACTTTTGAGGGGGGGGGGGGGGGGGATGATTTCTTGTGAGCCAGATTTTTTCATTCTTCGTGGCTTTTGGGTAGGATATATATTTTTTTTCTCTTGGTGGTGTGTAGGATTTTTTTCTTCTTGTATGTAACATTTTTAGTGGGCTTAGGGTGGTGCAAGATTTTCTTTTAGGTCCATATGTTGTGCACGATTTTTATTTTTGGTGAAGATGGCTTGCAGGATTTTTTTTTTCATGTTGGAGTTTTTAAGTCTCAATAAAGCTCACATCCACCTTAGTATCCAAGCTTTTCTTGTMGGCGCGTGTGTGGTCGTCCAAAAGTCACTCTCTGACGTAAGGCTAGAAACGAGAAATGCCTGGGTAAAACACTGACAACTTATTAAGGCCCCTTCATTAGAGTTCTTTATGAAAACAACATGAAAAAGGACAAATTTATGGCAGGAATAAAGGTTGATGCATGCGATTAGGCTATTCCCAAGTGTCCCTAATTGCTCATTAGTCATGTATGAGGCTAGTAGACATCTTTATGCAACGGCATTAGACCTCTCTCTTGTTTTAAATCACGCTGAGACGGTGGAGGAGTCAGCATTTAACGCTCCGGCTATCCCAAATAGAATTGAAGTACTGACCTATTCAGAGGTAAGGTTGAAGAAGGAATACATTTTATAACATTTATGTAGAAGAACAGAGCTGTTTCCAAACGTAGTTAATATTAACTATGTTCCAAAGTTGCTCGTCAAAGTGGTTCTTATTTTTTAAAATGCTATTACTGATATTTTTATTTTTATTTTCAGTGAACTTTTCGAAATGCAAACGTTTAAAAACTGCTGGGAAACATTACAGCCTTCTAGATCTAGGGTACTGTTAAGTGTATTATTGTAGGTCTTGTAGCAACCGGAGTCAATATATGGCATGCGTCTACCGTGTGGACGCAGCTCAATAACTAACCGCTAGTATTAAAAGTCAGAAATATCGCTCATTCTTTTGGCTTTTAGGGTAAATTCTTTGTTGCATGCGTACAGTATGTTGGCCCAAAAAAGTAAACAGTTGTAGCTGCAAATGTTTTCTAGAAAATGCGCTCATTTAATAACGGAAACCGTGCCGGGTGTGACTCGAGGAAATTTCTTTGCATAAACAAGTGTAGCATATTAATTTATGGTTCACAAAATACATATTCATATTCTTCTCTCGATTCCAGCATTAAAACGAATGTCTTTGTATTTTTTTTGTTCAACTCTCCAGATACATGATGGTTACAAACCTGTTCAGACTGGAATTGGTTCACAAGAAGCACACACCGAAGAGGATTCGCATCTTTTCCCAGCCGACGATCAAGGAAGGGACTTGAAGAAGACGAAAGAGATTAGTACTTGGAAAGTTGTTTTCAATCTCTTCAACTACATGGAAGGTGCTGGTTTTCTTGCTCTTCCCTTTGCTATCTACCAAGGTGGTATTTCAGCTGTAGTCGGATTTTTCGTCATTCCAATTTTACTCGGATACACTGCAAATCTTCTGAGTGAATGTTTGGACGATGAATGCGAAAACGGCGAAACAATAAGAAAAAGATRGACTTATCAGGGTATTGCACGAGACTGCTGGTCTGGAATGGAATACGTAGTGTTAACCTTGATCAGCGTTATCATTATTTTTGATGAAGCCTCATACATAGCATTATGTGCATCTCTCATGTCGGAGCAGTTTCCACACTTGACAAAGTTTCACTGGGCATGTCTTGGGACGTTAGTTGTATCACCGACTGTATTCCTTAAGCAGTTTTCTAACATTGCATGGATTAGTTTGGTTGGCATTATAGCACTAACTATAACTGCATTGATGGCACTTTATTTTGAGTTCCAACAAATTCATAAGTGGTATTTCCATTTGCTACTATTCTGGGACACTCGCGGTGTTTTCATGTCTCTTTCAATCTTGCTATTCAGCTATAGCATTCATCCTGCCTTGGTTTCAATGTTAGCAGAAGTCTCTGACAAGTCTCGATGTAAAGTGGCTTTATCCTGGACATTCTCGCTTGGGATGTTATTCAAACTAGTGTTCGGGTTATCAGGATTTCTTACCTACACGAGGAATACCAATGAAGTCATCATCAATAATCTTCCATCGGGAATTATACCTGAAATTGTTACCACGTTTTTCGTTTTAAGTATTCTTCTTACATTTCCTGTTCCAGTTGAAGTTGTTGTCAGGAACATAGAGCAGTCATTTTTTCATCGGATGCTGTCTACATTAATAAATCCGGTAGTGTTGATGGTAGGGGTTCGAGTCTTGCTAGTTTTGATGATTTTCACATTATCAGTTTTGGTGCCTCACTTTGCCTTGATAACCTCTTTGATTGGGGGGCTTTCTCTCTGGATAACCCTTATTTTTCCAATTGTGTTTCACTTAAAGTTAAAATATCATCGATTGTCTAGACTTCGAATATATGTTAGTGTGATTGGGATAATCTTAGGCATAATCTGGTTTGTATGTAGTCTAGCATTGACCATCTTTTCTATTATCAATGTGGAAATGAATGAAAACACTGAATAAACATATAAACCATCTGTTTTCAAGTAGTCTTGGCATCATGAGAGGCAATTTCGCACCCGAGGGCGTGACTAGCCTGATACACAATACAGGTGTTCCTTCGTTCCTTTATGCTTTCTTATCCAATTTTCTCTCGACCCCTAACTAGGAACGCCTGCCTGATGCAAGCTAGCCCGAGCATTATCTATACATTATCAAACTCATTAATAATTCATAATGTCATTAGCCAATGATATACTGAGAATCTAATCACGTGATTATACCTTTATATTGGATAAAAGGTGCAGCAAGCTCAAAGTTGGGGGCGGCTTTGAATATTTTCAGGGGAGTGCGGGGCTGATTATCATTCAACGTTTTCCTGATACAGACCTAATTAATAAAACATTAGTTCTGTATCAGTGATACAGAACTAATGTTTTATTAATTAGGTCTGTATCAGGAAAACATTGAGTAATAATCAGCCCCGCACTCCCCTGAAAATATTCAAAATGTCTAAACTCGCGTGCAATCAAACACAATTAAAACAAACTGAAAAATCAATATTGTAGCWATGCCGTTTCGTTTCCTCGCGATTTACTCGATCGTCGGATAAGCTTCTCTGTTTTTCTTGGCGCCTCGTCTTGTATGAATTTGACGATCCAAAAAATCAACGACTCGGCGTTCATGTCATCAAGACCAGCGTCAGCATATCCTGGAATGACTCGCTGTTTTTGAAACTGAAACTGGTGCCCCCATTTATGGCTTTCTTGTTCGCACGGTCTTTTTGCCGGTCGAAAATAAGGTTGCGGACCATTTTGTTGAATACTTTGTGGAACACTCGCCCAAGCAATAGCGCTTTCCTTTATGTTGAGTTTTAGGTCTCATAAATCGACTCGACATGATGTCTTCGAGGGAGAAATGGAAGACAACTGATTTAATTTTTGCTAACTATGAATGCCTAATATCTTAGTTTGGCAAGCACATTCTTTAAAAAAACAATAGAAAAATAAACAATTTTCAGGAGAAAGTACAAAAAGAGCTTCTAATGTGACAATTCCGCTTTCAATTAATCGTTTAGAAATTCCCTTGATAGTTCAGTCGTTTCATGAAGGCGCCATACAAACAGTTATATTTGACGCCGGAATATTTAATAACGGCGACATAAGTTGATAATTTTAATCGATGAAATGCAGCAAGATATTCAATTTTTCAAAAATATTAAAATGAGAATTATTATAAAGTTTGATAAGCCGTATACAGAACTCGAGAGCGTGTTGTATCGGGGCTAAAGATCCTCGCCCCGATGCAACACGCTCTCTCGTTCTGTATACATTACATACAATGTTATGCGCTAAACTAGGTTAGTTCTATCGTGTCACGATCTGGATATCAGAGCCCGGTTGTTCAAAGCCTGATTAGCGTTAATCCAGGGTTAACTCCATAGGTTTTCTAAGACTTAACCCAGTACAGTATTAGCGCTAATCGGGCTTTCAAACAATCCGGCCGTGGGCGAGGTCCAGCGCGTAATTTGAAGAGCGTGTACAGTACCACGAGTTTAACCACAGGCAGCCCAAGCTAAGCATTTAACTAGCAGATTATAGCAATATCTATAATGCATGTAAATACGAAATTTTTGAAAGAAAAAATAAGTAAAAAACATTTGTCTTACCTTATGATGTGGTCTTAGTTATGAATTTAGGCGTAATTTGCCGTTTTTCTTTGATATCTCCCCTCCTTTACTTATATCACCGAGTTATAAAATAAGACTATTACTTTTGTAAAAGTAAACTCTAGTGTAAAATTCATATTTGTGAAATTTGCCAATATTTATTGCGATACTCTACGGTATAAATTGCGGTTTTCCTGTGGAAATGATGTTTGAGAAAAGACTGGTAACTAGCAACAAACAAGATGGCGGACGAAGCGGGTTTTCAGATGGTGTCCCGGAAAAAGCGTAAAAAAAGAGGAAAATCGAMCTGTGCTTCCCAAAAAACTCATCCAAATAACGATGTAGGCTCTGATGATTGCAATGTTGATAGAATTATAACACAAATARAGTCGCACCGGTATGTAGAACATTTTTAATTTAAAATTTGGTGGGCTACCGCACGTAGTAACAGAGTCTATTAATTTCAAGTGTCTTCTGATTGAAAAAGGCAGAAGTATTTTATAAAAATGCTCAGAATGACGTCTTGTCTCTAAAATCTTTAAACATAGTTAGGGTCTAACTATAAACATACTTAGGCACTCAAAGAGCATGAAATTATCCTGGTATCATATGATGCCGGATTTGGGACTGGTCAACTTTTCTTTGATTGACAGGCCCTGTCATACACTGACATCCGTAACTTGTGTCTTGTCAGTGTTGTGCATGCTGGGTTAGGGCTACTCAGGGCAAAAAGTAGTCTCCTTTGCACCTTTTGTCGGGGAAGCCCAACAAAAGGRGAGGCTGTGAAGGAGACTAGGCAAAAGCTTATCTCATATTTGTTAGGAACTGACACAGACAGTGAAGTTGATCAGGGGTTCCCAAATCTTGCATGTTTTTTATTCATTGTTTAGTGTAAATGTTTATTTTTTCCTTGTTTTATGTTATTTTTTTTTTTGTAGATGTGAAATTGAAGCTAGTATGTTTTATAAAGAACTAAAAGGTTTGTAATGTATGTTTATTTATAGTGAATTGATGTGTCCAGGGAAGAGGGAGGAGGTTTTGTGATCCCTATAGCTAATATAGAATGAAGTTCTAAGGTAGTGGTGAAGAAAATTGAAAATGAATGATAAATTGAAAATTGAAAATTTAATGATAAATCTTCCAATTATTTCCAATTACGCTTTGACTAATTGAATCTAACACTGTCTTTATGATACTAAGATTCAACTTTAAGATTGTTGATCCTTTTTGTAATGCTATTTATTCTGCAGAAATATTTACCCAGCATAAAGCAAATGGATTCATAAAAGATGAGAATATACCTATACCAAGGAATAGAGATAATCCATCAGATTTAGAGAGTGACCAAGCTGATTCATTTATACTAGATATTGTGTGTTATGGCATTGGCTGTATTCGGTCATGTCCTAATGCAAGATATCAGTTTGCTTTGTTGATTTTATTAAAACAACTTTTAAAGGTAAGTCATCAAATCATATGAAAACATAACTTGATGAGGTGRGAAGACTTTTTTTGAACAACTGGTTATTAAAAGGGTAAAGCAAAAAATGAATTTAAAAATAGATTATCAAGCTTAGTTTTAATTTTTTTTATTTACTTTTTTTTTGAATCCTGATTGGAAACCTGATGAAACTGTATGATTTGGGAGGATACCACTCTCTGTAGACATTGTCATTATATTTGTGTTTTTTGTTTTAGATTTCTAGTCAAAATTGTTTCATATATGAACCACTTTTCAATAAATATGATGAATACATAGTCCAGCATTTTGGATGTTCCCTGATTGAAGAAAATGAGGTGGGTAACTCCTCAAAAAGTACGAAAATAATACAGCTTTACAAGCAGTCTTGAATTTAACTAATTTTTTAATCAATTTCTTTAATTTGTTTTCATTTAGGAAGCCAAAAGACGTGCATCACACTCCACATTGTTTTATATGCCCCATTGTAGCAAACTAATGTACAATAATGTTCTCTGGGCAAATTGGGGAGAAACACTCAAGAATGTTGTAATATTTGGTAACAGATTTAGTAGTTATGAACAAAGGTTAGAAAAAAATCATTCTTTTGTAATTCTTTTCTATTTTCCTTACACTTCATCTGGATTTTCACTTCCCACGTTTTCTTTTGTTTGATCTTCCCTTTCACTTTCTTTCATTTCTTTCTTCACTCATATTTTTCCTATTCTTTTATTTGCAACTTTCTTTCTGTCTGTTGTACTGCACTTCCCTTTTTCCCAACATCCTGTCCTTCTATTTCTTTAATTCCATTTTTTCATCTTCAGTCCTAGTTGTCTTGACTTCAAWTTCCAGATTGGTTATAACTAAAGTTTTCTTTCTACAGGCTTCCTTCCCATCAAATGTTGAATCAAGTTATGTATATAGCAAAAGTATCCTTTGTTGTTGTTTGTATTGGATCTAAATTGTGATAAAGACTGCACAGTCATTATAAGGAGGGGGATTTAGAATCCAGATGGAGATCCAAGCTAATCAGTGAAGGCGAGGGGGGTCATGCCTAACTTKAATTTGAAACTGATTGGAAAACTCCACAAGCCATTAACAAAAAGACAGAAAAGATGATTGTACTGCAAAATAACGCAATAAGATTACTCTCTTTATTCTGATCAATACTTTTAATAATTATTGTGCAAAGTAAAGAAGATTTTAAACGGTGAAGTAGAATAGGGGAGGTATATTCACTGAAATTTGTTCCCTTAACCATTTCTCAAGATCTTACCTCACACAACAGAAGTTGAAATTCCAAATAGTTTCTATCACAAGGACATTTTTAACGACTCTGCCTTACACTTGTTTCATAATCTCGATAACTTGTCAAAAGACTTCTGGTCTCCATGCCCTGAACCAGTGTACGATTTAAATAACCCAGAAATTGTTACCAAAAAGCAAGAATGACATTGTACTGGTGTCGATAGTAGGGGGAGGGGGGTATAGTTAAATATCGGAAAAGACGAGCGACMCAAGGAGTCATAGAAGAGGACAACACTGGCAATTTTCGCGGCGATTTTTGCGAATATTTATGCGTTCAGATCCTATTGAAATAAAGTTTTATTCAGTACCCTGAGGTGAGCTAACTAGACATCTATCTCTTCAAGGATAAGGGGTGATCCATTTGAATTTTAAGTGGGTTGGAAGGTTTTGTTCGTGTAAGAATTTTTTAGGACCCCCACCTCAAAGTGCTAATCGATCGCCCCTAAGACAAATGTTTTTGAAAATCGCTGCAAAAATCGTCGTGAATCATTCTTAAAATAACAGTCTACCAGAAAAACAGAAAATATAACAGAAAACATTAATTGTAAATAATTGTTTAATTGAGTTTAATTGATTAATAAAAAGAAAAAGAAAAAAGAAAATATAGCGACGTTTAAGCAAGAGCAAATTAGTTACACGAGCTATCAGGCGTCATATCCCTGCCTGGAAGAGAAATAAAATATGAAAGCCATGAATGACTATACASACATGTCTACAACGGCATTACACAAAATTAACAGTATTTAATARATATCACTGATTTTATTATTCTGTGTTATGTTGGATTTGTAATATGTGTATTAATAGCTATCTACAAGTTTTTGGTGTAACATAGTATAAAGTATTCATCAGGATATGGGATAGCGTGTAGCGTGCACATAGCCCTTGGAGCACCGTCAAGTTTTGCTCATTTTAACAGCTGGTACCGCGTATTGTATGGCATAAAATGCGCTGGGGGAATCTTTTCTCCTTTTTCGTGATCACGAAGGCTATTAGCGAACTCTCGTGTGTAGTTTATGTACTGAAATACTTCCTGCTCGCAAAAATAAATAAATGAAAAAAAAAGGAAAAAAAGAAAGAAAAGAAATCACAGTCGCTCTTCTTCAATAAGCATACTGCTCATATGCTTGCACAGTTCGACACCCTGCCGCGCTATCAATCAATGATGATCTCTGATTGACGTTAATGGTACCTGTGTGTGCAGTGAGTAATAATCCAAAAATATGTATAAAATTATACTGACGTAATGAATGATTTAATTATATATGCTTGATTTTTCGCGAAATGTGCAACAATAGATCGTTAATGCAAAACTAGTGATTGTAGGAACGAGGGGCAGTTGTCACACGCCAATTGGCCGTTGTATATTATGACCTCTTGCATGAAATTCCTGTTGTTTGTCAATGCATTTGTTAATAAAGTTTATTGATTCGTGGTATCATACTGTGAGAATAAAAAACAAATTCTAGTTGTACACGGATACGTTTTCTGTAGCATGGAAACAGAAACCGGCATTTTGTGGTGGTAAGTTTGGGCAACCACTTTTCAGTTTCCCAATCTTTTTTTATGTCCCATAATTGTTCTTTTTAAATCACTTCGTACATCGAGCAATTACAACCTCGCTTATTCAACGTRGGCAACTATGGCAACGTTTCTATCGACATTGTAATGAAAGTTTCTAATTTTAGCTGTGACGATTTTTTCATACAAAAACACGCGACCGAGAAGAAGAAGAAAGACTGGCGCAGAGGGACGTCATACGCATGCGCCCTTATTATAGCGGCCGCCATGTTTTCTTGGGAGGACATTAGCATTTTGCGAGTTTTTGTTGTGTTTCATGAAGATTTCGCACACGTTATTGCATATTAGAGGTAAGTTAGAGGAATATGAATTACCAGAGCCTTGCATGGACATTGTTGTTCTACAGTTGACCAGTATTCGGCTGAAGTAGAAATACAGAGGATTTATTGACAGAGTTTGAACAAAGACTGCCTTGCCCATGGATCTTATACACGTTCCCTGATCGCCTCTTTCTAGTCTTAGTTTATCATGTAACTTTGTCTAGGCTTATTGAATATAACTGACACAGCCTCCCCTTATTCAAAGGGATCATACTTTCCTGGGAATTGAACATTTTAACGTATCCAAAAAGTTCTAAGACATTCGGGTTGTCTTCGATTCCGGACGAATTTTCGGAGATGTAAGACTTAGTAGTCCCAGAACGAACTCTCGAACACACTTTTTGGAAGTTATAATTTCGACAAATCGGTGCGTAATTTGCTTGTTAAGAAATAGCTACTTCAGTTTTGCGTTCATATTCAGCGAAGTCGAGAGGGTATTTATTCCAAGGCATGACTTATGCTATAATGATTTTTTATTTGTATGTATGTGTGTATAAATTTAGTGAACAATCGAACCGAAAACGGTGGGTCGGAAATGCGTCGTAGTTATCACGATCTTTATTTGCAAAATATTTTTTCGTGTTATTTTAAGAATAGCTCCTTTCTTTTTGTTTTAGCAACGTATGGAGATATATTGGCAAACTGTAGAAATTTTATAAATTAGGAATGTTTTGGTTTGGCTTGCATTCTATGCAATATTTTGGTTTTGAAATTGTTATGACGTGAACTTGGATGTCGTCGATTGAATGCTTCTCTACAAACGTAACATCCTAACCTGTATCAAACAAGGCGAACATTTTCTAACTAAATTGTTTTTTTCCTCCACAAAGTCGGCGCCGCTTTAAATCCAAAGATTTCATTTGATATCACGGCGAATTCTTGAAGATTTATCGATAAAGTTATCGATGAAATTCATTCTTTCCTCGGTTCTTATTGTTCCTTTGAAATTTAATTGTGGACGATTATATTTTGGCACTTCAGAGGGATGTTTAACAATGAGTGCGCATTTTAAGATCACGTTGTCAAATTTCTCAACAGTGTTGAAGTGGTCTGATGGTATCTAATCCTCATTGCTTTTGTAAGTGTTCTGATTTACATTGCTTAATTCTTCATAATACAATCGTTTATTTATTTATGCTATTTTTACACTCGGTCTTATAAAGTGTATTCCAACGCGAAAAAAATCTTTAATTATGTAGTATTTTTGTGTATGCTTAAAAATTTGTAAAAAAATGTCATTGAAGTTAGTAGTGATGAGATTAATTAGTCGTAATTGAAATGTTAGGTTTCTGCAGCTCGTCTTGAACAAGAGGAGTCAGACATGCTGGCTCCCAAACGTTTTGTTTTGGGCTATAGGAATCTAATAAAACATCAATCATCCAAGCCTAAATGCTGTTCTTACTAGTATATCATTATTTTGTGATTAACTACAAAATGATTACTAGTATGTAATATCATTGAAAAGTATGTCTTTTTTTACTCATTTTCATGAACTTGTTTTTTGCYGGTATCACTTTGAAACTTTATTAGAAAATGATACATTTTTGAAAAGTGCAATGAAATCCTATCCCGCTCTAATTGACGAAAGCAAATGGTATAATCGCATTTAAGATATTATAATATTTATTAATTTATTAATGATTGTCAAGTTAGTGGAAATTGAACATTTTGAATTTTTTGCCATGAGAATTTCAAAATTAACTTGTGTATGTTCATTTACTTAAATATACAGTTCAATAATAGTAGTAAACCCTTCAATAATAAGATTATTAATGTTTTGATTTTATTTCCTTATCCGTAGGGGTGTATTATGTTCATATTGATAATCTTCAATGTTTATTTTCCTTGATAGAGCTTAGGATGTTTTCAATATATTCTTAAATTATGAATTCTACTGGTTTATATACAACCACATTTTGTATTTGATAAGTTTTTAATATCAAAATGTTGTTACAACTGTTTGTTTAGATTTGCTACAAAAATGTTTGCTATTTGGTGGTAGATTTTAAAAGTAAAATATCTGCTTGATATGTGCACAGTTCCCTGATCATTATCTGCTGTAAGTAGTTGTCACTGGGTAGTTGGTTTAACAACATTTTTGTGGTTTTGTTGCTATGATTTCTTGGCAAGCAACAAGTGCAAGATAGACTTATTTGATTATACTGTCTTATTATTCTAAACCAAAAAATGATATTTTTCAAAACCAGATAAAACTATCCTTTACACCAACCACATACCTGAAAATAAAACCAATTGTGCACACCTTTATTATATATGAAATTTCCATTCATGATATTTCTTTCTCAAAAGGATTCAAACACTATTACGTGTGATAGTAACGTTTTTACTTTTTTTAAGTACAATCACTGAAATCACCACTACTTGGTTTCTTATGATAATTCCTATTATTTTAACATTTTTGTATCAATCCTATCTACAAATATCTGGTTAAACCAATTCCTTGAGTAACTAATAACGTAAATAGATTAATCTGATTGAAAAACAATGCACAATGCATGTAAATTGTTTTATTGTAACATATTTTCATAAAAACAGACATACAAAGACTGTCACACCTAAATGTCACCTTCACTGAAGTATTGTGGCTTTCTTTTGTTTTACAATTATTTTCTCTAATCAATACTAATATTCTCCACTTAAAGTGAGAAAGTGTCAAATTTTACATTCAAAACTGGTAGATTCTTACTTTTAAAAAGGCTAAAAAATAGTTGCTTTCACGACAGTGTTTCCAAATTTCTCTACATTTCTTCCATGTTTGTGGTTTGACTTGTAAAGTCTGTTTCTAACTGGTCCATGTGTGAATGACAAAAACATTGAATGAATTATATAAATCTGAGCAAATTACACTCTGATATAATTATGTTCACTTTAAAGTAATAATAATAATCATTGAATTATTTTATATTGATGATATCGGATTATTAATCTAATATAAATTCTTTGTTGTTTATAATTGGTTTCCTAGAAGACTGTCATCACAATTCTCCCTATATATATTACATATGTGAATTCATATCCTTATATACCTGTCGCTAAGTTCATTGTCAATCAAAATCTTTGTCATATAAACCAATTATAAATATTCACAGTGTCAAGAATATGTCTCCATTCAGCACAGCTGATTCCTGTATGTTAATATATTCACCTCAAATGTTTCATTTTCTGTTGCTCCAACTTATGCATGTATTAACTGACCAGCAACAAAACTCTTCTTTTAACAATGGCTGTTGCTCACTATTTACAGGCAACAGAGAGCTTTTTACCATCTTATATCGGGCCTCCTGGTCCCTATGTGGCCATGCGCTCGGTTAAAGTTGCTCTCCATCGAAATCAAGAGTATGCCGGTCTGTTTGACGAACATGACCCAGAAAAGTTATATACCGATTTAAGAGAAATTGGACATGGGAGTTTTGGAGCGGTGTATTATGTAAGTAGTGCCATTTAATATATTTTGTATTGATAGAAAAATATTCATGTATCTTTTTGTATTACTTTGATTTTTATTATATTTTTGTGATATTATTAGTAATATTGTCCATTTGCTTTGAAAAGTTGATGTTGAGGTACAATGTATGTATTTAAAAGTGTGCATTTAACAAATAGTGATGTTAATTAAATCAGATAAGATGTTTTCAAGTAGATTATTACACTAGGATGTATTTTGTCATTTTTGACAACTTAGGCTGTTTATTCCATAAAAAAAGATCATTTGCATTTCAAGATTTTAGATGAGCAATTTTAAACTGAAATGACATAAAWTCTAATAATTCTTTGAACATTGAATCAATAACTCTATGTTCTAATTTTGTTAAAAACAATTGCAAATCTTCTAATATTAATTAATAATTAGTACTTAATTTGTTGAAAAATTAAAAACTTATTTCTTCGTTTCCACTTTCAAGAATATTTGTATTTTACTTAATATCTGTAATTGTTTCTTTGATAAACAGTCACTTCATTGGACTTGAATCTGCTTCTATCTCAAAACTTTAACCATTTGCTTTTTTTCTATTTATATTTGAGTTAACTTAACTTGTAATGTTTTTTTATATAAAAAGGCATACCCTTGTGATTATGAAAAAAATGTTTAGTGGGGAAAATCTTCAACATCAATCTTTTCAATAATAGTTTTTTAAAACTAAAAAAGTTTGAAATTATTGAAATTATTAATTGTCATGACCATAGATTTCTTTTGTAAAAATATATTATTTATTATGTTTTGCTTACTGGTCTATATTATAATAGAGAGCAGATGTTGATAGATTGCATGATCTTTTTACTATTGCAAAGTTACCTCAATAGCCATATTCAATTCACTTGCTAAAGTAATGTAAATGTATTTGTCTACTTTCCAAAAGGGACGCAATATCAAGACACAAGAGGTTGTGGCTATTAAGAGAATGTCCTACAGTGGCAAGCAAGCACAAGAGGTTGGTCATTTTATTAACACTTTGATGTAGACTCACTGTTGACAAAGGAAGGATTTCTCTTATTAACAAGTGTTTTTAGGATAGCAAATAAGATGTGAACACTTGAGATACATAATAAAATGACGTAAATACTTAATGAAATATAAAACAACAGTTCATGTCGTTTCCTCTCTTGGAAATATAGCGGGCAAAAGAGAATTGAGCTTAAACTTAAGTGTGTACTCTTGCTTGTTGGGTGTTTTCCATCTATCATTATGCTTATTTCAGAGAGATGGAGCTTTTTTATAGTGTAATGCCTCTGTAAACAAAATTTTGGCTTTTATACTCTGATTTAAATATGGTTATTGGTCAGTTAATGTATGAATTGTTTTACCTGTAATTATCTTAATTTAAGTAAGAGATAAATACCGAGAACGGAGGCAATAAGCCATATAAAGCACGAGGGGCCGTAGGCCCCGAGGGCTTTATAGGCTTATTGCCGACGTTCGAGTTATTTATCTGACTTATTTCATACTTGAAGAAGTTTTCCAAGCACTGCATTAATATTTTCATTTTAAAATAGGCAAAGAAGCCGTTTTCATATGAACTAAAAACCAAAACCTCGANTGTTTCTTTGATAAACAGTCACTTCATTGGACTTGAATCTGCTTCTATCTCAAAACTTTAACCATTTGCTTTTTTTCTATTTATATTTGAGTTAACTTAACTTGTAATGTTTTTAGTCGGGCTAGCCATAGGCTAGGCCGACTTTAGTTTTACCTTTTTGTCAATCTATGTGTCATGTCGCGTTTGTGACACCGGAAGTTCAATCCGCAACCTTCCTGTCATGTGATATTCTTTCTAACCGGAAATCAGACAACTCCAACTGGGATCCCTGTGTCATTGCGTCACACATGACGTCATAACATTTATTAAATTAGCATACGTCTTATGAGTCTACCTCCGAGTCTCCGGCATATCATCGTATACTACTACATTTTGCTTGACTTATATACTAATAAATTTGCTTGTTAAGAACCATGTGGGAGGACGTGTGCTTTATGTAACTGAATAAAACATAAGCGCATGCTCAGAGTACTAAATGTCCCATCCAATCACACATTTTTGCAGTTACCAGGGCAAAGGTAGCCCTGTCAAATATACCATAATAATCAGCCAATCACGTGCATACCTACAAAGTAACCTGGCAACTAAAATTACCCATAATTTCCTGGTTGGATAGCACAGGAATACCAAGGTCACATGGTCAATCATATTATCCATAATGCTTTACTTTACTTGTCTCATGGTGCTGTACTTGTGCTACAGTACGTTTGCTCGACGTTTTTTCCTTCTTCCTTGGAGAGTTTTTGCAATTAAGATGTCAAAAAAGTACATACTGAGACGCTCAACGGCAGCTCAACCATCTTACAAAATCAAACGCCGTTCGCGGTAGACTCACACTAAAAGATGTCAATGAGCGTCAGTTGCGAAACGAGTCGTTCCGTGAATCCAAAGAATTCTTTGACAAGACGAAGGATCAGACCTCTACAATCAGCTCTAGACTCACAGTGATAAGTTTATTTGTTMTAATAGCTATATTTTACGTATCAATARATAGTTTTGTCTATTATATTTCCCCATTTACTGTGTAATTCATCGCAGTCTTGTTTTGTAAAATATGCTTCTTGACCTGAGAGGTCATTTTTTAATTAAAAACGTGAAACCTTACACCAAGATATCTGATAATCAAATGCATTGCGCCATTTCGTCTACGGCTGCATTAGTAATTATAGCATATGAGTTTTAAGAGCATTTAAAGCATTTATTTTGAATTTATTTGAAAGAGTTGCATTTGGAAATTCCCCTAATTAGTATAAGCTGGTCCATGTACAAAAAACGGGATAAGTATAGGTTAATAGGGTTCTTTCCTTTAAACATTGCATCAAAAATTGTTAGATTATAGAGTGTTGTTCGTTATATGACCTTTTTAAATCTCACGAAATTTGCATATATTGAATAAGCTACAGGCTTTTACAGCTCGAAGTCGGGATAGCTATTTTTGAAAATTGAGAAAGACAGAATATCACTCCTGGATCGATATTTCTAGTGTTTTGATGTCGTTGCAAGCCACCAGAAAAGAATATCACGGTGCGTGAATAAACAAACTAGATAAGGTATTCTACGCCATAAATTACTTCATATATAATTATATCACTGTCAGAATACTACATGTTTTTTTAGATACGAATTTTATTGAACTCTTTCGCTCTTCACATATTCGCAAATCCAACTAATTTCTCAATTTTCCAAAATAGCTAGCCCGACTTCACGCTCCAAGAGCGTCTAGTTTTATATAAAAAGGCATACCCTTGTGATTATGAAAAAAATGTTTAGTGGGGAAAATCTTCAACATCAATCTTTTCAATAATAGTTTTTTAAAACTAAAAAAGTTTGAAATTATTGAAATTATTAATTGTCATGACCATAGATTTCTTTTGTAAAAATATATTATTTATTATGTTTTGCTTACTGGTCTATATTATAATAGAGAGCAGATGTTGATAGATTGCATGATCTTTTTACTATTGCAAAGTTACCTCAATAGCCATATTCAATTCACTTGCTAAAGTAATGTAAATGTATTTGTCTACTTTCCAAAAGGGACGCAATATCAAGACACAAGAGGTTGTGGCTATTAAGAGAATGTCCTACAGTGGCAAGCAAGCACAAGAGGTTGGTCATTTTATTAACACTTTGATGTAGACTCACTGTTGACAAAGGAAGGATTTCTCTTATTAACAAGTGTTTTTAGGATAGCAAATAAGATGTGAACACTTGAGATACATAATAAAATGACGTAAATACTTAATGAAATATAAAACAACAGTTCATGTCGTTTCCTCTCTTGGAAATATAGCGGGCAAAAGAGAATTGAGCTTAAACTTAAGTGTGTACTCTTGCTTGTTGGGTGTTTTCCATCTATCATTATGCTTATTTCAGAGAGATGGAGCTTTTTTATAGTGTAATGCCTCTGTAAACAAAATTTTGGCTTTTATACTCTGATTTAAATATGGTTATTGGTCAGTTAATGTATGAATTGTTTTACCTGTAATTATCTTAATTTAAGTAAGAGATAAATACCGAGAACGGAGGCAATAAGCCATATAAAGCACGAGGGGCCGTAGGCCCCGAGGGCTTTATAGGCTTATTGCCGACGTTCGAGKTATTTATCTGACTTATTTCATACTTGAAGAAGTTTTCCAAGCACTGCATTAATATTTTCATTTTAAAATAGGCAAAGAAGCCGTTTTCATATGAACTAAAAACCAAAACCTCGATTAGAAAGGTTACGAAATTTACTGYATTGACAATTCCCAACGGTAATAATTTGCATAAGCATTTTTTTCGTTAGTCCCATGAGACCAATGCTAACAATATACCTTTTGTAACAAGTAACTGGACAATGTTAAATAACTGTTTTATTCCACAAATGACATCGATTAGTCAGTTAGCATAGCGTGTTAAGTATAGGATTTTCAAAGCTAAGGTTGTGGGTTCGAATCTACTTGGTGTCATTTGAATTTTTCTTTCYTTMTTTCAAGTTTAAAGTTTCAGACGGAAAATTTCTAAGTTGAATGTAGTAGTTAATTAGGTATTCAAGGGCAATAAGTACATTAGTATTCAAGGGCAATATCTAGATATTGCCCTGAAACTTCGATATAAAGCACTTGAATACACAATGAGCTGTGGAATAAGCTAGATACAACACTATGAATAACAAAGAAAACTGAATCAAGTATGAAATAATAATAGATACAGGAATAAAAATAATAAGCAGGTCATCATATACATGTAGAGCCCAGTAAAAATTTCTTAAAAAGTCAAATCTTTAAATGAATAATTTTTTTTAGATTTAAGATGTATATGGCATGTATATCTGCCTGGTTGTCTGCCATTTTATAATTGTAGCTCAGCTTTCTGGGCTAAATTAGTCTACTAAAGTGTTAATGTTTCAATGTCACAAGTGAAACATTAGAAACACTATCAAATTCTTTACCAATAAATACTAACTAAATTGCCTTAAACTAAATAACTAAATAGTCAGTTCTCTGTCAAATAAACTATACCTGTAGTCTTATTTTTGATATTATTTTCTTCTGTATTTAGAAATGGACAGACATAGTCAAGGAAGTCAAGTTTCTTAAACAATGTAACCATAGAAACACCATTAGTTATTTAGCCTGTCATTTAAAAGACCATACAGCATGGGTAAGTGACTTCACTTCATTGTAAACTATTATCAGGCATGTCGGAATTATGCGCGAAAAAAATCAAAATTATGCGGAATTTTTTCCCCATATTATGCGGAGAAAAGGGTGAATTATGCGGAAAATTATGCAGGATGACGTCATCACAGGAACGTAAACTTTGGGAAATTTTACATATATTTAGGTTATTGTGCTTGTTTTTCATGCAAAACTCCGTTTTTATCTTAGTTACGAAGTACAGAAGGCAGTACCAACAGAAGGAAAGATCTTTTCAGACGTTTTCGTTCTCGCACGTTTTACGTCCCACTTGTATCATACGCCATATTGGAATTTGTCATGTGATCTAGTAAGGCACAGGGTGACCAGTAATGCTAGTGCCCAGACTCTTTTCTGATGAAATTTTGAACGCCTGGTACATTTGTGAAGCCCACAAAAACAAAACTATATTCGGAAAATTATAAGCATGTTTGGGAGCGTTTTTTGATAAAAAAAACAGTCAATGGACCACAAAAAACATTAGTAGAAGGCAAGTCATCTTAAAAAATGGTATAACATGGGAAAAAAACATGAATTATGCGGGATTATGCGCGATTTGGAAAATTATGCGGAAAGGGGGCAATTATGCGCGTCCGCATCCGCGCATAATTCCGACATGCCTGTATTATCATTTAAATGGTTAAGGACCAAGTGCATCTGAAAACCTAAAAATGATCTTTTGTTTTGCTTTACAAATAATCTGTTGTTAAATCATGATTTCTGATTGGTTCAAAATTTTCCACAAAGGTTTTGGGGACTTTTTATGTAAAATAGACTCTGAGTTACGGCAAAATCTTGCCTCTTTGATATCATATATATAACTAGCTCTACACTTTATGTGTATTGAGCACTCTTTAATGGGATCAGCCACTTCCTCATACGATTAAAATAGATATAATTATAAAGATTCAGGGCTTGCGTATCATTTTCAGATTCTCTGTACACAAATTATTCACTCCAGAAATCATGTTATTGTCTTATTATCTTGAATTCATTGTAAAATGTGGCAATTATTGCTAAGAAAATATTAGTAATTGAGGAAAATAAGAAATACTATTTATATATGTATGGTTGCGTTCATTAATCAGGAACTTTTTTTGTAGCTTGTGATGGAGTATTGTTTAGGTTCAGCTTCTGATATTTTGGAAGGTAATCAAAAATTGTATTTAACCAGTTTTATTCTTAATTTTGTATAATTTTGCATGAATTACGACTCATTTGTTTCTGCTTTTTGTAGTTCATAAAAAGCCATTGCAAGAATTAGAAATTGCAGCAATTTGTGCTGATGCAATTGAGGTATGCATGTACAACGTTGTACCATAAATTCTTGGTGATGAAAGTTTGCACATGTCACAAAATGTTAATATTAGATCTCCATTTTAACTGGAAGTACCTTAACCTGTTTGTAGGGTTTAAAGTATCTTCATGAACATGGAAAAATACACAGGGATGTTAAAGGTAACTTTTAACTTAAATCAACAATTCATTCCTGCTATATACACTGTTACCAAACTTGAATGAAGTTGTCTTTAAGCTCAATGTTTTATGAAGTACCTGCGTAACTTAACCTATAGGGAAAAAACTGATGTTTTTTTGATGCAATCTCATAAATTTATTATAATAATTATCTTTCAGCTGGGAATATTTTACTTACCGAAGATGGAACTGTTAAATTAGGTATGCCTGCTGTTTTACCATTTAAATTATCTACTTGTCCTGCTAGTTTTTCTATTGTAGTCTTTTTACTTGGTTTTACAAGTTGTCATGCCGCTATTTTGTTGTCTTTCAGCTGATTTTGGGTCTGCTTCACTTGCATCACCAGCAAATTCATTTGTAGGAACTCCATACTGGTATGCCTTTTTGATATTTAAACAGTTTAAATGAGTTACTCTGCCTTGATAGCTTTTTTCATATTGCTACCTGCCACTATTTAACCTAGTCTGTCTTTACACAGGATGTCTCCTGAAGTCATACTAGCAATGGACGAAGGACAGTATGATGGCAAGGTATGATGATTTTGGTCATGCTGTCCACTACTGTAGCAACAAAGATTGTGATGATTGTGAAATAACAAAGAGAGACAGTCAGTACAGAAAACAAAGATGTCCATTAGAACAATAGGCATTGTCTGACATAATCCTACAATTCTTTGTTTTTTGTTGTCTCAATCAATCACAAGCTTCATTCTGACGGTAGTGGTCGACCCGATTTTCGTCCTGCTATTCATTTACAGTAAAACACTAGACACAAAAAGATGTCCTTCAATGTTCCTTGGATGTGTGAAACTTWAGTTTTCTTTCTATAGGAAGGCAGCTGTTTGAAGAGAGGGACAGGGATCCCAAAACGGAAAACAGCTGTGAAAGATACTAGTGTGTTTGACCCATGTTGGTTATAATATTGTTTTCTTGTATTGTTGTACAGGTTGATATCTGGTCTTTAGGGATTACATGTATTGAACTTGGTAAGTAATTGGACATTATGTTTCAACAACAAATTTCCTCTACTCTCATTGGTGGAGAGGCAACCACATGATGGTGTGWGTACCCACCGTCGAAGGGTACTATCAGTGCATAGAGCCTGCTACTTCAGAAAATTGAATGTTGCTGTTGAATAACAAAAACAATAGTGCAGTTGAAATCTCAGGSATTTTGCTGTGTGATAGTTTCCTTGGAAGCTAGAGCGGATTTCGTATGAGTGGGACACCGTTACCGCACGGTTACTGCACAGTTACCAGACCTGGCCTGCACAATTTTGGTAAACCAATGGAACACTAGAATTTGGTTACAGTACGATTACGGTCACAGTACAGTACCGTCCGTTTCCCACTCATACGAAATCCGCTCTAGTCTATGTTGCCTAAAACTTCATAGTGATCCTTGAGCTGTGTTCTTGGACAACTATTTGTTTTTTTAGAAATTTAAGTTTCTTCTGGCAACTACCGCAGCTTAATGCCCTCGATTTAACTACTGTTTCATTTAAATAGTGTTCGCCAATGTATTATATACTCAGAATATATATTATTGTTCCTACAGCGGAACGTAAGCCTCCATTATTCAACATGAATGCCATGAGTGCCTTATACCATATTGCACAAAACGACCCTCCAACCCTGAGCACAAGTGGATGGAGTGACGACTTTATACACTTTGTACAGTCATGCCTCAAGAAGCATCCATTGGATAGACCTAGTGCTGAACAACTGGCTAAGGTAAGGGAGTTTGGTGGTCATGATGTTTGTTATAGTAATTCTCATTGAGTTGAATTCATAATATATATGAGAATGTGCAAAACGTCAGTGTCATGTAGCAGTTTGGGTGGCATGGGTGGACTAGCGGTTAAGCTGCTGGCCTCTCACCGCTGTGGCCAGGGTTCGATTCCCGGACAAGGACCATATGCGAGTTTGAGTTTGTTTGATGTGTTGTTCTCTCCCTTGCCACGAGGGTTTTTCTCCGGGTCCTCCAGTTTTCCTCCCTCAGCAAAAATCAACATGTGAGGAGTGGTGTATGCTATTAAAATACTTAATGTAGAGGTAGTGAGTGTGAGAGTATAGAGGGCCACAATTTCATCAGTTCTTTACTGGCACGTGATTACACGTGATTAAAACAAAGTTGGTTGATTGATTGATTGATTGATTGATTGATTGTACATGTACAAGGAGTAAAAATGCACTATTCATCGAACAGACAAATCCTTATCCAGTGGATAAAATCCTTACAAAATCTGTGGAGTGGATTTATTCAGTGGACAACTTTATCTTACACCCTTCCTACAACAAGGAACTATATTACAGCGATAATCTTTTCAATGTTTCTATAGCATCAATACCAGGAGAAGTGCCGTGATAAGACCTGTTTTGTAAAAAAATTGTTCCAGCCTATCACTGCATGGGAAAGTCATTTTTGCTAAATACTACCTTTGTAGATTTATAAAATAAAATGCATACCAACTGYCTTGCTTTTTTGTAGCATCGTTTAATTGACAGTCCAAGACCAAATGGTATAATAAAGGAACTTATCAATAGAACCAAGGCTGCAGTCCGAGCTCTGGACAAGCAGAATTACCACCGAATGAAGAAGATTATTATGAGTGATCCAACTGGTGAAAGCTCTAATGAAAATGCTTCTGATTCTGATAGTATTAGTCAGTACCAAGA